ATGGGTGACAAGCTGCAGAAGTGCATCATTCCCTCTGTTGATTCAGGAACAAGTGTCTGTGCAGGCAGCAGCAGCGTGCCACATTCTCATGGGCAGGTTTGTTACTGACTGCTCTGACAGCTGGTTGTGTGTGTGTTGTTTTCCTGGCCCACTGAAGACACCACTACTGACTGTGTGCAGAACTTCTGGGCCATTCCAGCTCTGGCATGACTGTGGTTCTGAAAGAAAGCTGAGGAAGTGAGAGCTGGACTTGGGACATCTCTGCTCCTGGAGATCTGGCCCTCCCAAGCAGTGCCCTGCATGATGTCCCCTGTCCTCCAGCATGTCCTCATGTCCTGCCTGAATCTTTCCAGAGCTGGCTGCTGATGCTCTCCAGGCTCCCATGGTCCTTGCAATGCTGGTTGCTTGTCTGAGCCAGGAGAGGGGTTTCTGGCATTTCATTGAGCTAAGCAGTGCAGTGTAGATTGGGAATGGCAAGATTTTTGCACATACACTCAGGATTTCCACAGCTGTGTCATGACTGCAGATGTTTGGGTTCAAAAGGAATGCAAAGGTCCATGGAGATCCTCACCAATCATTTCTGATGCCATTTGATCCCTTGAGGGAAAAGGCCAGTGCAGACAGGAGAGCTGGGAGTCCCAGATCCTTATATCTTTGCCCTGTGCTGTGCTCATCTTCTCTCCTGTGGTCAAAAAAATACTCACAGAGAAATATTTTGCTGTTGATCTCTGTCCTGCTCCTGGCACCCTGTGCCAGACTGTTCTAGCTCTTTACACCTGTACCTGTCCCTGCACCACTCATGGGATTGCTCTCAGGGTGCCTTCCCCAGCTGGCATTTTGCTCTAAGCTTTGCTTCTCTTCTTGTCCTGCTTTTGCCATTGTACATAGTTTTAGCAGCTCTTCCCTAGAGCATCACCAGCCAAGAGGACTTTTCTATGGGCTGTGGTAACTAAGGGTTATGTGTGGGAATGCTGTGATAAAAGACCTCTTCAGTTTGAATGAAATAGTGTGGTTTGAAATGAAAAGTAAGTCCTGATGGAGAGCATTGGACTTGGAGCGAGGGCAGAGCTTTGTATGACACCTCCACAAAGTCACCACCCCTCTCCTGTTACTGCTGGGTGTCTGCAAGAGGAGAAGAGCTGGAGCTGAAATTCAGCAAGACCTGTTTACTCTTTGATTTCCAGTATATGGAAATGGGATGAAATTCATTCCCTCAGCAATTGCTTGGGCTGCAGACTCAGGGAAGTTTCTGGCACAGAAGTGCTGGCAGTCAGATCGGTCATGGATGCCCTCGGTCTTCATGGCAGAGCAGCTCCTTAGCTCAGGTGAGATGGACCCAGCACCAGTGCAAGGAAAACCCAGCAGCATCAGCCCTGGTTTGCTGCTAACTTGCCCCATGGTGTCACTGGAGGAAGGAACAGGGAGGTGTGTCAAGACTGGTGATTTATGTCAACACAGGACCTCTATCCCTGTGATTCTTCAGAAATTGTTCTTTCCCACCTGCAGTGTGACTGAGGGTTAAAAGAGGGAAAACTAATCCAGCTGTTTAAAGGGCTGTGGTGTTGTGCATTCATAGGATCTTGAGTGTTTGGCTTAAATATCCTGAAATCCTGCAGACATTAGGTTGTGGCAAAAACACCACTGTCAGCCCCAAATCAAAGCTGATTCTTGGCCTCTGTCTAGAAGAGGCAGCTTGGAAACACCTTCTGTATTGACCCCAGATTCCCACGAGGTGAAGAAAATGTGTAATGGTTTAGAGGCTGCTTTTATCCCTTGTTTTTCTCCCTCTATCTTGTGGCTTTGGGACTCCTGGATCCTGGCCCTGCAGTGACACAGCATGAGGGGTTTTAGGGTGCTAATAAGTGTCCCTGTGGTTTTCTGTTATGCACTATCACAGCTTTTTCTGGAAGAGCCCCTGAGGCACAGGAGACAGAGATCTAAAATACAAATTTCAGCAGGTACTTGTGCTGTGGGGACTCTGGTCTCCCCATCCTGCTGTGTCCAGCTGGGAAAGTGCAGGGACAGATGCTGCAGGCAGTGCTGTGGCTGCTCTGGGAGCCTCAGGCAGCCATCCTGGCTCTGCCCCACCTCATTCCCACCACGTCCCGGGAGAGGAGTGAGAAGCAGGGCCCACGTGGAAGGGTCCAGCAGGAGAGGGGGACACCAGTGTCTGTCCTAGATTGCTGTAGCCAGCAGTCCTTACTGTAATGCAGGATAAAAGGTGCAGTTGCCTGGCCCTCCTCCTCTGCACTGCCCAAGCCCTGCCATGCGCTCTGTAGCAGACAGAAGGCTGGCATGGAGATCAGGCACGCTCTCACAATAGCCTGTGTTATTTTCACATCCTTGCTGTTTCTCAAACACCATTAGGAGGTAATCCTTTCCTCCAGGATTGCAGTCTCATCCTAGGGACAAATTTGCCTCAGCAATTTTTGCTGATGGGAAATTCACCCAGAGAGCAGACTTGCCATTTGTTCTGCCTACCCATTTTCCCAGCAGCCTTGTGCAGCAGAAACAGCAGCAGCACACAAGTCTGCCCAGTACAGGGCACTTGTTCAGACCCTGGAATGATCACTTGGAAAACTGCATAACACCACCACCTCCTGGCAGTGGCACTTAAAGCCCCATTATTCTGCTTTATTCTGTGAAGCCTTATTGCTGTTGTACCTAAGCATCAGATTTTTTTTTTTTTAATTGGCACACAGATTTCTTTTTGTGAGGGAGAATTATTTGGTGGGGCTTTGAGGAGTGCCACACATGGCAAGCCAGAGTACACCCATAGAAAGTTTATGTCTTGATGTCTCTGCTGTCCTCAGAATTTAAAAAGGCACCTCTCTTAATTAACTTTCCTGAGGGGATTTTTCCTGCATGAGGCCAGGATGCAGTGTACATTTTAATGGGAGCTGTCAGAAAAATTATTGATTTGGTTAGTAATGTTTCTGAAATTGTGTCATTCTGGTAATTCTATCAGGTTCTCTTTGAAAGCTTAACTGAGAGCATTTTTATATCCTTCATTAGTTTTTTAATACATGATAATTTCCCCTAACTCATCAACGCAAAGCGAGATCAGCTGCCTGCTTGGTAACCATTTTTCCTGTGTACAAACCTATTGCAGCAATAATTACAAAGTGAACAAATTATTACAGATATTCATTATAAAATACAATTACACTGAGCCGTGCTGCATTGTTACACTTTTCACAGCCATCACTTGCTCTTGAGTAAATGGTTTCATTAAAAGCATGAAGGGCAAACTTAATACACTTCTGACTCACAGCAAACAGCACAAGAAATCATCCTGGCTGTTCCTCTGAGTGCTTGAGGTGTTTACCCTGAATGAGTAGAAAATGTTGACTCTGCTGCCAAATATTTGTCAGCTTAGCAGAGGGGCTCTGGGTGGCCAGTGCAGATGTGCAGGGAGAGGAGAAAGCCAGAAATCACGGCAGTGTGGCCTCAATTTCACTCCCCTAGAGCGTGGCTTTCTTCCATGTTTATGGGTTTTCAGTGCTGGGACCTGCCAGGAACAGCAGAACCTCCTTCATCATATCTTGGAGCAGCCTTGGGGCTGCTTCAGCTTGTGCTGGGTGCCCGTGGAAAGTGCAGAGGAGCCAGGGGTGGGATGGGAAACATTTCTTTGAAGGACAGGGCATTCAGGCTTGGGCAGGCAGGGGGGAAAGCTGGTTTAGGTAAAAGCATTCACAGGAGGGCAGTGTTGTCAGGTGAGTGTGGGGGGAAAGCAAACCCAGCCAGAAGCAAACACAGGACTACAATCACTGCCTTGGCTTTTTGTTTGGTGCTGTTCCTTGTCTGGATCAAGATGAGAGCCAGGAGGAGGTCCTGTCCCCACAGCAGTGCCAGGACAGTGAGCAGAGCCTCCAGGGAGGAGCAGAGGCTGCTGGATTTCTGTCTGTGTTGTCTTTGCAATGGCTTTGCTGTAGAAGGGACCACAGTAGCACAGGTCCACCACCCCATATTTATACCCCAGGTTTGGCCACCTTCTGGAGAGCAGCTTTCAGCCAGCTGTTTCTGTGAGTCCCTGAAAAGAGCTGAAACACCTCTGTGCTAATTTTCTTCCTCTGAAAGAGCAATTTTTACTTCATTGGGTGGCTCAAGGAACAAATCTCTCTCCTGGTGGCCCCAGCCTCCTCTGAGGCTTTCAGCTTCTGTGGTGTGTGCTTGTAGCTCTGCTCTGAGCGGTGACTCTGCCTTCAGACATGTCCTGATGATGTTCCAGGGGCAAATTCAGTAACCCCTGGTCATGTGAGAGGGCATTGCTGCTCAGCTCTCTAATGGGAGAGGACTAAACCTTGAAGGCTTGGGAAAGGGTGTGCTGCTTGTAAAGTAAAATTTAAGAAGCAAAATCCCACTGTCAGTGAAGCTTTCCATGTGCCTGCCCTAACCAGAAAGGCCATTTTCCTTTGCACTCCCTTCACAGAAAAAGTCCTAACTCCAACATCCCTTTCAAGCTTGTAAATCAGAGCCTCCAAAGCCCAAACTAAGCAGCTGATCATGATGTTGTTCGTGAATCTGCTGAACCTGGGGAGACAGAGCCTCTCCCAAGCCCAAGCTTGGGCATCATGCTTCCAGGGGCTTGGTCTGTGCTGGTCCCAGTGCTTGTGCTCATGCAATGTGTGCAAGGTGCCAAGGGGCTGTTCTATACCACAGGTTTTTGGAAAGGGACTTGTCTTGCCAAGACACCTCTGGGGAAGGTTGGCCCAGCCTGGCCATGCCAGGGAGGATGGCACCTGCAGGCTCCTGGTGTTCTGTGGTCCATGCCCATACTGAGGCAAGCTTGGCCCATTGGCTCCTGCCCTTTGCTTTTGACTGTGCTGTCCCTCCAGCCTGTGCCACCAAAACCACTGTTTTCTGTCCACAGCCCCCTTTTCCTGCTCTTTCCACCTTCCTCCTCTACCTTCTTCTCCTTCTCCTGTTCTGCTCCCTGTTTTTCCTCCTCCCTTTTCCCTCCTTACTCTTGAATCTCTATTTCTTCTTCTCTGTTCCAGCAAAACGATATCAATCAAGGTGATAGATGATGAGGAGTATGAGAAAAACAAGACCTTCTACCTAGAGATCGGGGAGCCCCGGCTGGTGGAGATGAGTGAGAAGAAAGGTGGGGGATGTGCTCCGGGGCTGAGCCCAGCCTGTGTGTCCCTGTCTGGCTCACTCATGTCTGGCACCTGCAACACCGAGCTCACATCCCCGGTGCCTATGGAAAAGGGCAGGAGCAAGGCCACTCCCTGTCCCCCTTGAGCACAGCCCTGTCCCCAGGCCAGCAAGGCACGACCTGGGCCAGGTGGTGAGGATGCTCCTGCCCTTCCCCATATGCCCCAAAGGGGGGATGTGCAGCCCCTTCCCCCCAGCCAACCATCTCTGTCACCACAGCACCCGGGCGGACGTGACCTGCATGTGTGTGCGATGCCAATCATGTGTTTGCCTTTGTCTTGTGTTCCCACAGGAAATTCATTACCCTTAGAGTACTTGACCGTGAGGAGTATGAGAAAGAGTGCAGTTTCTTCCTTGTGCTTGGGGACCCGGTGTGGCTACGACGAGGAGTGAAAGGTGTGAGAGTAAAACCAGACCAGCTCTCGAGGCGCTGCCGCTTTCTCTGTGTCTCCCTACTCTCACACTCCTTTCTCCTCGCACTTTGGCTCCTGGCCGTTTTGCCCTCCCTCCTCTGAAGCTTGGCCGCTGCACCTTTTTGCTCTGTTTTCTTCCCTCTTTCGTTTGGAGAGGACTCCATCCAAGCCCAGGGAGTGAGGAGTGCTCCTGGCACCACCCCAGAGCAGGAGTCACCAGCCCCCAGAGACATTTTGGGAGTGCTGCCCTGCTGTGCCTTCATTTAATCCAAGAGAACATCCAGCCTCGACAAGTGAAAAGGGCAGCGCTGCATCATTTTTATCAGAAGATAAAACAGCTTTCACTTGAGATAAAATGCATGGCCAGAGCAGTAATTTTAGCCTTTTTATACTGGCACTAGGATCCGAAAATAGACGAAAATCACAGCCCAAGTAGGTAATATCATGAGATGCAATCAGTTTAGGTAAATCAGGTTATGCTCAAATGAAGTTTCATGGCTCTGCATTGGATAATAGCTTCTCACAGGAATAATAAAAACAATTTCCTCTTTCATCACATTTCTAAACCAAATGCCAAACTTCCCAAAAAGACAGAGTTCACCTATTTTCCCATGCTTTTTTTTTTTTTTTCTACTAGAAAATTAAATGAGGATTAATGGCAACAGCTGGTTCTGCACACTACTGGTGGCTGAGCAAGAAGCGGTTTTAGAGTTACTTAAGAGATGGACCATTATTAAAGCCTCTGCAGAAGTTTTGGTCTGTGTGCCTTGGAGCTGCTTTCTAGTTTCTGGGACATCAGCTCTCCTTCCAGCAGGCATTAAGCTGTAATATTTCTTTGATCAGAACAGAGAGGCCCTCAGTGGTCCCCACACTGAGTGGGACCATGCCACGTTCCTCTTCCGCTCAGGTGCTAAGTCAGCTGCATCATCCCCTCCATCAGCTTTCCTGATGGTTTACGTGACTATCTAACAAAAGCTGGGCTAAAAAATCAGCCTCTGGCATGACTCAGGCACTGCAGGTGGGGTCTGTGTCATTAAATGGAGCTGGTGGCATCTGTGGAGCATGGACTGTACAGCCAGGATAAAGTTACACATGGACAACTTAACTCAGCAGCTCTGTCCTTGCCCACAGGGGCCAGTGTGGGCTCAGCCTTGCAAGTCCAGCAGGAGCAAACATGCTTTCCAGATCCAAGGCTTAAAAGTTGTGGTCCCAGCTCTGAAGATCCCAGATGAAATTTTTATCTAAAAATAAAAGGAAAAGGAAAAAGAATTCTTTTGGTCACAAAGATAACTGGGAAAACCTGAGAGAAGCTCAGGCTTGTGAGCTCACTAAGTGGAAGGCAAGATAAAACTTTAAAGGACTATTTAAAGCAGCTATTTGCTGCTTTGGCCATGCAATTTTAAATTTCTTATTTCTTTTAAACTTGTTTCTTTGTACTTGATTTGGTACAAGAAGCAGCAAGGCAGGAGGAGCAGTGTGCTCAGAGAGACGAGGGCATCTCTAAAATGTCACCCCTGGGCTGTGGTGGGGCCAAAGAGCCACCAGGGCACCAAGGGAGAGGCTTTTTCTTTCATTTTGGAGATCTAAAATGTTGACCAAGAAGACCCTTGAGCCAAGCCTTGCCACAGACTTTTCTCTCATTGTCTGTGCCAAAAGTGCAGCTGCCACTGGAGCCATTGCTCCCCATCAGGCAGCTGGAGGAGGTCAAAGCCAGTAGCTGCTGCACATGGGACATCTTGTGTCCCACCCCGGGGCAGAACTGCCTCTGAGACCAATGGAAGATCTTGCACATACAATTCAAAGGGGAAAAATGAATTTTTGGGAGTGTGTCTTCTAATCCCATATCCACCCCATGTTTGCAGTGGTTTTTATTTTAAATTCACAATCCCATGAAACATTTCTGTTCAGTGTCTTTCTCTTAACACTAATGGTATCCTGCAGCTTTACAGATCTGAAATCTCTGCCCTGGGATCTGGTGTCTTTCTGTGGATATCCCTTTTGATTTCATTATTCATTTACTTTTCTTCTTCTGTGTTTGTCTCTGTCTCCTTCACAGCCCTGTTGTTGAATGAGCTTGGTAAGCGCATTCATTTTTCCTTTCCATTTTTCTGGTTTGCATATCTTTGGAAGACAGTCGATTTTGCTTGATGTTTTTCTTTGCTCACAGCATTCTCTTTTAGGGTGGTCAGCACTGTTTAAGCAAGCTCAGGTACCTAATGCCCCATCTTCCCTTAGAGTAGAGCCCCAAAGTCACCAATATTAAGAGGTGGTGCAAGGAGCATTTTTGGAGGGGATGGTGCTGTTACAGCCAGAGTAAACCTGCCAGCACCCCGAGATACAAACCTGTGCCACACAAATGAACCCATCCCATGAACCCATCCCAACCCAATGAACTCTAAAGTGGTGTGGCAATACAGGATTTCCTGGTGACTGAGAGATGCTTGTAGCTGGACAGGAAAGTTGGCCAATCCTTTTTGAAGAGACAGTACAAACCTTACCTCCTGTCTTGGGGAGACTTAGAGCCTAAGCAACCTTTGAATTTCCTTGCTGGCCACCTCCAGGGTAAGGCAGCTGGGGAGTGGGCATCCTCATTCCCCATGCACCCGCAGATTTCACCCCTTCCACAGCATATATCAGACACCAAGGGGTGGCAGCTTGCACATGGGGGTTGAAAAGCCTGTGTCCAGGTTTCCCCACACTATCCCTGAGGTGTGTGCTGGGGAGCAGACCCCATGTCCATAGTGGGGCAGGGAAGGATCACCATGTCTGTGTTGACGTGCAAATGCTAATCCTCATTAATTCTCTCTCTCTCTCTCTCCCTTTTTCTCATTTTTTGTTTCATCTAGGTGGCTTCACCATCACAGGTATGGATTTCTACTCTTCCCCTGTCCCCCTGTTCCTTTCTCTTAATGTCCATATGCTCACCCTGCTCTTTCCTCTTGGTTTCCTCTTTGCTTTTGTTCTGTCCTGGAGGGAAACTCTGCCATGGTAAGCAGGCGCGGCCTGCCTGGCCCAGCCGGTCCCGCTAACTCCGTGTGCTCCCACAGAGTGCTCTGCCTGCCTCACACACCTAACCCCCCCCTTGGGGACGGTCACTTGTCACCCCCCAAGCCACAAACAACTCCTCTCCATGTCTTGGAGCAGCGTGGCCTTCTCCATTTGGTCCAGTTGTCCCCTCCCTGCGCACAGGGCTCTTTCCTCGCTTCCCAGGCCTGAGCGCTGCGGGAGGGGCAGGACCCCATGGCTCCTCTGGCATGAGCCAGCCAAGCTTCCCTCCTTCAGCTGAACAGCACGGGACAAGGAGGTCCTGGGTCCCCTACATTGCCCCTCAGGAGCCCTGGAAACATAGATCAGATTTAGGAGGCTCTGGCTCCAAGGTGGGTCTCTTTGGCCTGCAAGAGGAAAAGGGCTTTCCCTCAGCTCCATGCCACCTGAGCAGACAAGGGGCGTCCAGCAAGGGAGCAGCACTAACCCCGTGTGACATAAGAGTGGAGTTTACTAACTGCACGGGGACAGCTTGTAGAGGGTGTGCAGTCCCCCCTGCTGATCTCCTGCTGATCACTTTAATAGGCAAACCTGTCTTCAGGAAGGTCCAGGCTAGAGATCATCCTCTTCCTTGCACCGTGGTCTCCATCCAAGGTACCTGTGGTGTGGCACCATGTCAGTCTCACATGGACTGACTGGGGTGTTTGCCTACTGACAGATTAACTCCAGTCTTCTGTCGCCCTAATGTTCTCCTGCCCATCCCTCAGGTGGACTGGAAGGGAGTTCAGTGGGGTCTGCTTAAAGGACAGTGACAAAGGGTGTGCTGCCTGCAGTCCCCATGCCCCAGAGGTCACACAGATGACAGTGGAGATGCAGACCTGCTTCACTGATCTTGTACTCCCTCTGCTGCCTCCTCTTTTAGAGTTTGGAGCCAGGCATTGGCCTGTGGATGGTTTCTTACATCTGTGCTCTTCCCTCCAGCCCCGCCATCACAGCAGGCATTGGCTGCCAGCCCCCTCTCCAAGGCAAAGCCCTGCTCAGAAGGAGGCATAGCCAAGATTCCATCTGTGTCTCAGCCCAGGGGCTGCTGACAGAGCTCTCTTGCTGTAACAGGCTGGTGGAATTGCCCTGACTGTACCTCAGTGCTGACCTGGAGTGCTGGGGAATGGAGCAGCCTTCGTGCTGATCTTTCCCCTTCCCAGCAGCCCAGTGGCAGAGGCAGCAATTAATAACCAAGCAATTACCAAGCAATAAGCTATTCCTCAGCCCCAGGATGAGCAGGACTCCTCCTGAGGTTGGATGAGTTGCAGACCTCTTGGTAGCATTCCATAGAACTATCCTGTCTGTTGCTCCATGAACTCCTTCTCTGCTGTTCTGTCGCTCATGCTCCCACCTGGAGGACTCCTGACCTCCCCCTCTGACAAGAGGCCAGATCCAGAGTGCCCAGCTGGGGCCTGCTTCACCCACGGGCTCTTTGCTTTGCAGAGGAGAATGAGGAAAAGCAGCCCCTGACCAGCAAGGAGGAGGAAGAGCGTCGAATCGCAGAGATGGGGCGCCCAGTCCTGGGGGAGCACACCAAACTCGAGATCATCATTGAGGAATCCTATGAGTTCAAGGTACTGTTCACATCCTGAATCCCTGTTCTTCTTCCCCCCTCCTCCTTTTGGGTTTGTGCAGTGCTGAGAGGCACATGGTGATGGTATTGGAGCAAAGCAAGGCAGTGCATGGAATCACACAGGAAACAGGAACTGAGGTCCCAAATGCTGCAGGTTGCTTTAAAACATGACCCTGTTCTCACAGTGAGTTCTACACACTGCTCCTACTTACAGGCAGCCTTGAGTGAGGCCCAAGCCTGGCACTCCCAGTGCAAAGGGCTGATAACCCCAAATGCAAGTAATGGTTGTGTGGCTCAGCTGCCGTGAATGCATGTGCCAGGCCAAGAGCTGAAAACCGGCCATTTCATTATCTTCTCCATTTTTCTGTAGTATAAAAATATAACAGGCCACCCTTACTATGGCTCTGAGATGGTTTAAACTTCAGCTTAGTAAAGAGAAGGAAGGGAAAGGAAACTAGGTAAAGGACTGGTTAATTAGCTCAAGCACAGTGGCAGGATGGCTTTACTGACTAACCACCAACTGTGGTTCCCAGAACTGATCAAGTCAGTTCTTAAAACCAATAGAGCCAGTTTGAAAACAGGTTCTTAAAATTCTTCCATGAGCATTCCAAAACCATCCATGAGCAGGTTTCCTAAGGTCTTTTTTAGCAGCAGCGAAAGGAATTGCAAGTACTTACATTTGGGTCTCTTGAGCTTAAAATCTAATGAGCTTGCTCCATAAACACATACCCATAAACAGTGGCATTGGTGGGCTTTAGACCTGTATCTCCAGCCCCTAATTCTCTGCTCTGCATCTCTCTCCACAGAACACGGTGGACAAGCTCATTAAGAAGACGAACTTGGCCCTGGTGGTTGGCACAAACAGCTGGAGGGAGCAGTTTATTGAGGCCATTACTGTCAGCGCGGGTGAGTTTGGGCCGCAGCTCCAGGTGAATTACGATCACCCTCGCCTCGCCTCGGCAGCATCACTAACACAGGCTGTAGTGGAGCAGCAGGAGGCAAAGCAGGTGGCAGAGTTATTTACAGCTTCTGCATAAATAAGGCAGCTGATTAAAGCCTTTTGTGAGGGCACCTTGTCTCATGTGTAGGAAACCTTCTGCATGAAGCGTGTCTGTAGCACCAGGCAGAGCAACACCTTGGCTGGTAGCAGACGGCAGAGGGGGAAAAGTCAGTTCAGTGGGAGAGATCTGGGAGGAGAACACAGTGTGGAAATTCAGAGTGGCATAAATAAGGCTGGTGTGAAGCAACAGTGCTCCCCTTCCCTGGTTCTCCCTGTACCTCTGTGGTGAGGACAACGCAGTAGTGAGGGTGCAAATCCTGAAGGAAGTCACTCTCTCTGAGCCAAAACTCTCCCTTGACACACCCTGCTTTCTGGAACTCCTGCTGCCCCAGCCAGCTGTGGCTGGAGGATTATGGCTCAGCAGCCCAATAGCTGCAGCAGCACATCATATCTGTGGCTGATCCAGATTCTGTGTGATCTTATCTTCCCTCCCTTGGAGAATTGCCTTTCCCTCAAATGCCTTGTTGTGCCATTCTCGCAGGTGCCACTGCCATGTTTACCAGTACAGGATATTATTCCCATATATGTGGAAGAAGGAAGAAAAGGTCTCCTCCAGATGCTGTTTTAACAGCTGGAAACACTGTCACTTACTGGCTGGATGCTACAATCCCAGAGCCCAGCCTGGGCTGTGTGTGCACACATTAGGGCAAAATCAACCAGTTTAAATTAAATCCCTGGGGAAGGCAATTACCTCTCATCTGGCTAATTGTGCGCTGAAGTGCATGGGGGAGTGCTCAGCTTCCTACCTCTAACTCTGCTATACAAGGTAACCTCTGCCCAGCACCATATAATTAAAAATGATGGCAGTACCATTTGCCCTCTGCCTCTGGAAAACAAGGGCAGGACACTGTGCAGCAGCTTTCTCCTGAGATTGTGATCCCTCCTCTTGTAGCACAGTTCTTCTCAGAGCCTCCAGGCAAGAGCCTCCCATTATTTTGGATTCAGCATGAACTTATCATGCAAGACAATCCTTGCTGCAGGTTTTGTAGCTAATATGGCTAAACTAATCTATGCCAGAACCAATTATGTAATTGCATCCCATGTTAAAGCAAAGATAGTCACTGATGGTTGGATCCCATTTCTGTGACACACATAAAGACTGCAGTTATGTGGATGCCCTGTTGCCCTCATATCTGGAATATACAGCCATGATCAGATCTAACAGATGATTAACAAGCATTTAATAACTGGGATGTATTTTGGTGGACATGAGCTGTCCCTTGCAGTTGTGGATCTCAGTGGTAGTTTGTCTCTGAGCTCTGGAGGTACCCTGGCTTTAGCTCCTCAAGCTTTGTGCCAGATAAGTTAAAATGCCTTAAGCACTGGAGATTGGGTTTGAGTTTTTCCCCCACAGCTCACTCTGGATACCAGGTGAAAGTCACCCATCACCACTTCAAAATGTAACATCCAAGCAGAGAAAAGAAACTTTAAACCCCCATTGATCAACTCAGGGCAGTGTTTGCTGGGGGATGGAGCAGCAGAAGGTGAGGTCTGTGGAAGGGCAGTGCACAGACAAGGCTGTGCCACACTGTGCTGTGCCATTCTGGGCTGTCCAGAGCCTGTCACTCAGCTCCTTTAGTCTGCTCCCAAAAGCTATAAAGTTTCTTCCACAGCAAAAACATTCTGGGGCTTGCAGGCCTGTTTGTGAATGCGCCCCTGGGTCACCACTCTGTGTTTCAAGTCACCTCCACAAGATCTGGCCAGCTCTTCAAAACAGAGACATCATGGCTGCTTAACACAATGATAGGCAGATCTGATGAGTGTTATGACAGTGGCATTCATGTTCATTTTTCAGTCTGTTTTATCATCTCCATAAAGATTCAGGTCCATAGCAGTCCTGATGCCTCCCTGAGCTTGGCAGAGGATTGAAGTACCTGCTGCAGAATTACAGCTCGAGCACAGCATGGTGTATCCTGCCATTAGCAGCCTTTGCACATTGAGGGAAAACACAGGCCAACATAGGCTTTCCAGGCTGGAAAACTGCTCCTTATCTTCACAACAGTGCACAGGAATGGGTATTTATATCTGCCAAAATAATAACACTGATTAGCTGCTGTTTCTGCCATAGTGAGTTTGAAGCTCCAAAGTTTGCATCTTCCCCTTGCTAAGGGGCTTCTTTCAAAAGCCATGCAGGGAGACCTCGTGGTCCACATACTTGGTGGGAAAACAAAAAGCATCAAAGACATGGAAAATCACCAGACAAAATGCAAGAGATGTCTTTAGCATGACTTAGCCTTGGAATCCCGAACATTTGTGACTTAGAAACTCATCCTTGTTTCTTAAGGGCAGCAGGAAAGCTCCCACTGGCTTAGTTGGAAAAGTGTCACCTCCCCTTCAAGTCTGGGAGTGGTTCCAGTGTGAGCAGGAGGAGTTTTTGACTATGCCACAACAGTGATGTTGCGCACTGTGCCAGGCTGGGGAGGCCCCACATTTGCCATGCAGCTTGCCCAAGGCACAGGCTGGCCAGCAGGCTCTCCAGACAGCTCCTCAGAGCTGCAGGAGCCAGGCAAGGGGCCACCAGCCCCAGGGGGCTCCCTGGTGGGGTCACCCCCACCCCGTGGGGACTCCCTGTAGGCTGGATGCCAAGTGCTTTTGCAGAGACAGGTGAGGTGCCAATGCCTGGAGCAGGAAAGGGAGTTCCCACTGACCTAGGACAGACCAGACATCAAGGAATGGGCAACCAGAGCTTATAGGGAAGCATGTGAAGGGGCAGGGAAGTGCAGCAGGGAAGGACAGCCAGCAGTGATTGAGCAGGGAGGCTTTAGGGCAGGCAAAAATCCATCACTTGATCCTGGTTTGCAGCAAAGGTAAGGTGAAGCACCAGAGCAGCTCAGCAACCATCAAAGCCAGCTGCCTTTCCAGAGAGCTAAAAGCAATTGCAGGCACTTGTGGAAAGCAGCTCAGAGCAGCCCAGAAGGGGCTTCCCTGTGGGAGTCTCCTCAAGGCAGGAGTTGCTCTCAGTGGGTTTGCCTGCCCCAGTCAGCTCCAGCCAGCACAAGCTTGGCTTTTTCCCACTTCTTCTGGAGGAAGAGCTCTTGAGCAGGAGCTGAGTCCCAGAAAGCAACTGATGGTTAAATTCAGGCAGAGGTGCTGGCACAAGGGTCTGCATTTTCTGAAGTGCAGGTTGTTTTTTTAAACCATTGCCTCTGGGGTCTATCTCTGTGCTGTGGAAAGGGTAAGGAAAGGTCATCGAGCCACTCTGATGATTGCTCAGAAAATAAGACATTTGGAAGTCAAGGCCTTCCAGGGCCCAAATCATGAGACACAGCATTTTAGGAACTGCAGTTTGCACAGGAGCTTTGCCCAACCTCCCCCAGGATGAGCAAATCTGATCAGGCACTGCTGTGTTCTCCAGGAGAAGATGACGATGACGATGAATGTGGAGAGGAGAAGCTGCCCTCCTGCTTTGACTACGTGATGCACTTTCTGACCGTCTTCTGGAAGGTCCTTTTTGCCTTCGTGCCCCCGACAGACTACTGGAATGGCTGGGCTTGCTTCGTTGTCTCCATCCTCATGATTGGGCTCCTGACAGCTTTCATTGGTGACCTGGCATCCCACTTTGGCTGCACCATTGGCTTGAAGGACTCCGTCACTGCCGTCGTGTTTGTCGCCCTGGGGACATCAGTGCCAGGTAAGCAGAGCCACGGGTTTTGCTGTGAAGCTCCATCTCCACCCAGGCTGGGGCTGGGGCTGGGGCTGGGGCTGGGGCTGGGGCTGGGGAGGGCTGTGCTCTGCAGGATCCCAAAGCACAGGTTTGAGATATAGATGGAAATTGGTTTATGGTCTCAGATGGGCTGAAGGATAGAACCAGGATGTGGATTCAGTCCCGTGGGTATTATTTCAAGGCCCATCCCACTGTAAAGACTGTGAAATACCTGTTTCTGTGGGCAGCCTCCCTGGTATCCACTTTCAGGGTTGGAATTTGCCTTCAGTTAAAATGATGCCAGCATTGGCAGTCCTGCATCTTAAGCATCTGCTGCTTTCACCTTGCTCCTGGTGAATTAAGTGTGAGTCTGTACTCAGGGCACACTTTCCAGCATGGACACCTTTGTGTGAGACAAGGTTCAGATGGATCAAGGTGAGGTTGCTGAGCTGGGGGAACTCTTGAAATGCAACTTGTGAAGCTCTGTGGATTCCCATGTCAGCTTGTGTAAGAGAGTCTGTGCCTTTCACTCAGCTTCTCCCATGGGCTGTGCTGGGCAGGCAGAGCCTGATTTCTGGACAAGGGGCTCTGACCCACCCCAACCATCCTTTGCATCAGTCACACCTTCCCTCACCACCTTCAAACTTGCAGTTATCAGCACCTAGATGCTCAAAGATCCTGAAATTGTCCTACTGCTAGCAAAGGCAAAGAGAAGAAGCAGCAGAACCAAAAGAGAACAGATCTGGGGCAAGGAACAGAAGAAGGAGCATTTTTTAGACCTCTGGCAGCAGAGGCTTTAGCAGAAGGTTTGCAGAGCTTCTTCACATGTTTGACAGTGAAAGTCTTCCCTCCTGCTTTGGCTGGCATAAGGTGGCATTTAAGAAGTTCTTTTTTAGAATACATTGGGCTACTCTTGTTTCAGTTGGCTCCCAGGCCTTGCTGTGTTAGCTGGGTGCTGGTTCAGCCCTGCTTTCCAGGAGATGGGCAGGCACCAGAGGAGGGCACACAGAAATCAACACTGACAGGGACTTTCTCTGTATTGAAAGCACTGCTCAAACTTGCAGAAGTGCATGTGGTTGTTTCTACACTCATCCCTTCTCCCCCAGTGGCAGCTGCAGAGCCACAAAGGCATCAGCACTGTCCCACAACTCTGTCACTGCACCATGATCAAGGCCTTTTCCTTCCCTTAGATGCATTTCCATGGCAGCTTTTTTTTTTTTTTAATAAAGCAGACTTTTGATTTCTTTGCTGCAAATGGACCCTCTCACTGTGCTTCTATGTGCCCATCCCCTCCTGTTCCATGGAGCTGGATCTTTGTGCCAGGCTGCACTTTGCCATCACACCTTGGAGCCCATTGGGGAGGAACAGAAAGGAAATTCTGTAGAATATAAAAATGTGAAATATGACCTCATTGTTTTCTTTTCCTGAGCCACACTGGGCTGACTGTACTCAAGGGAATCTGGGAGTGCAGATATGTTCAGGACTCACCTTCTCATTGTTAGCTGAGGGTGCTCACCTGAACCAACCCACGGGCTAATCCCTCCTGCTTTTCCTTCCCTCTGCAGATCCAGAGTGGGTTTGGATGTAAAATCAGCACTTCCCTGTGGTGCAGAGCGGAGTCAGGCTGGTCTGCCTGACACAAGGTTTTCCATTAAAATGGCCAGCCAAGTTTTGTCACTGGTACTAAAGCTGGCAGAGCACCTGGGCAAGCATGCACCCACCCACACAGTTTTTCTTCCCAAGGGTTGGAGGATGACCTGGTTTACCAAGGTGTCAGGGCCTGCACAAGGCTTCAGGGAGGCAAAAGGTGCTAGAGGCCATACTGGGGGAAGCCCTGTATTTCTGACCATTGAGATTCCCCCCTGTGCATTTCCAGACCCTGATGGTCCAAGAAGAGCCAGATGGTCCCCTGATTCCCTGGAATTTCCATTAGAAGGGGCTGTACCCTATCCCCTTACCCATTATTTTCTTTCCCCAGGTGTTGCCATTGACATTTGTCCCCAAGCTGCCCTCTTTTCCTGGGTGTTTCCTGAGGGTTTCTCCCCGTCTTTCCTTTGCAGACACATTTGCCAGCAAAGTAGCAGCAACGCAGGACCAGTACGCGGACGCGTCCATCGGGAACGTCACCGGGAGCAACGCTGTGAACGTTTTCCTGGGCATCGGGGTGGCCTGGTCCATCGCAGCCATCTACCACGCGGCACACGGACAAGCCTTCCAAGTCTCCCCTGGCACACTGGCCTTCTCCGTCACCCTCTTCACCATTTTTGCTTTTATCAGTGTGGGAGTGCTGCTCTACCGGCGGAGACCCGAGATCGGAGGTGAGCTGGGCGGGCCGCGGACTTCCAAGCTGCTCACATCCTCACTCTTTATCCTCCTCTGGCTCTTGTACATATTCTTCTCATCTCTGGAAGCCTACTGCCACATAAAGGGCTTCTAAAGGGACAATCAGAGATAGTAAATATGTGTATATCTATATATATCTATATAGAGTGATATATAGGTATAGATATAGATATAAAGCTGTGTATAATGAACAGAGAAAGAATAAAAGAGATTTGCCATGTTCACACACCTGCTGATGGAAAGCGGCTTTGGAGCATCCTTTGAACTAGGCAGGACCCCAAAGCCAGCAGGACCCCTCCCCAGGCAGCGGCCCCAGCCAGGAGCCAGGGGCAGGGCCCTTTCTGCAACTCGACCAACAGGAGCGGCCGATGGCCACTGAGCCCCTTCCATCGCTGACTCCCACCCGCTGGCCCCGGGAAGATGGATGAGAAGGCGACCGGGGTGCGTCGGTGTGAGCAAGGCCAGAGTAGCTGGTGAGAAACAGAGCAGTGGGCAAGGGAAGGAGAGGAGAGCAAGGGTTCTGATCTCCCACCGCCATCCAGCTGCCTTCACCACCCGGGAACAGGCCCTCTGGCCCTGCTGGAGAGGAGCGAGAGACCGAACTGAAGACAAGGGGAAACTGGGAGCTTTCTAAGGATAGAACACAAACCGTTTTCGTCATTGCTTTGGGGTTGGTTTTTTTGTTTCGTTTTGGCGTGTGTACAACTAGCATTTCCCACCCACATGCCCCTCACCTTTCCCTGTCCATGCTTTGGGGGTGCACAGCCGCAGCCTCGTGTCCCGTGTCCCAAGCCGAGGCCGCGCGGAGCGGCGGGAGCCTTCCTCCCACTCCTCCGCCTCCTCGGGCATGCTGTCGTGGTACTTGTAACATTTGCATGAATGAAATGAAATCTATCTGTATATAGCATCCTATAGCGATAGTCCTTCCAACCATGTGGGTTGAGCATTGCAGATTACAAGCATTTTCTTTTCACTGGGTTTTATTTATTTTTAGTTAGTTCAGTTTTGCCATAGGGTTTTGCTCGTTTGTTTGTTTGTTTCCTTTTAGCGGGGGTGGAAAGGAGGGAAAGCTGTCCCCACTTACTGCTCGTGGCATGGCTCCATGAGAAGCAATAACAGCCATGCAGTTGTAGGTTTTCAGGGAAGGAAAACCCACACTCCAGAGACTTCAGGCTCTGTGCAGCTGTGTGGATGGGGTCCTCTGACGTGCTGAAGCCAGTGTGAGGCCTCCTCTGCCCACAGGAGGTGTTACACAGGGTCCCAGGGAGTGGGGTGAGCAGTCTGAGGGGAACAAGCTTGGCTGACTCCCAGCACCTCACATGCTTCTGCCTTTCGAGTCGGTGGCTGCCTCAAAGCCCTTGGCCCCCTGCTATTGCCTGTAGCCCCAGAGGTGTAGTGACAGCCCCTGTTTCTGAGTGTTAAGCCATCAGGACCAGTCCCCAAAGCTGGTCCTTCCCCACAGCCATTTGGAGGCAGGGCTGAAGGGCCGTACGAGATCTCCCACTCCACTGAGCGGTGACCAGGACGCATCCCCCCAGGAAAAGGTCGTGTTTTGCACTCTCCAAGTCACTGGACAGGATGAGACAGGGAGGTGTGACTCAGCATCACCCCCAGGTGCCAGGAATGCAGGCTGGGATAGAGAGCTGAGCCAGGGAAGTGTGGGTGTAGAGCTCCCCAGGGCGCAGCACGGGGCAGACACTGGGCACTGGTGTTGAGAGATGTCTCCTGACCCGCTGCCCTTTGCCAGGCTTCCTCACATTCCAGCCAGGCAAATTCCCAGCCTGCATGCCCATGGTGAGCTCTTCCCACTCAGCTGAAAACCATGTCTGATGCTTGTACCATAACCAGCTGGCTGGGGGTATTTGTACTCATCTTGAACTATCTGTGGAAATTTTAATTAACCTGCTGTAAGATTTTCTCTAGGAATATGAAGTTGTGGGGTTTTTTTTGTTCTCGAGCCTTTTTTCACTTTTGATTTGTTTTGGGTTTTTCTTTTTTGTTTCTCATCGTTTTGGGGGAAAAATCAAACACAGGTGCAGGTTGTTCAGGTTTATGATTACCTTTATGTACAATGATTTCATTTTCATCTGTTTGGCTTCATTTTTTTCTTTGTGTGTATTGCCCACCACTATAGGCAGTGAGTCCACTAATTGTGATAATCCTTATCAATGGTACACAATGCACAGAGAAATAAAGTTTGTAATGATTCCTGATGGATCCAGTACTGCTCCTGCATATTCTCTATGGAAAACCCTTCTCTCCCCTCCAGCTGTTTCCATTGTAGCCATCTTTCCTTGACTCATTGGTTTGCCTTCCCCGTGTTTCTGCCTCTGGCAGGGGCAGTGGTGCCTTGGCACGGCCGCCCCTGCCCCATCCCATGCCCTTCCTCCCTCTCCATCTCCATGGTGCCTCAGGCTCGGTGTGTGCTGCGCTACAGCCAGGGCTCACAGCCTGCTCCACTCTCAGGGGGATGCAGGAAACCACCCAGGGACAAAACTGCAGGGCAGCCCACCCTCCTGGGGCCAGGAGCTGCCCCTGTGCTGCCTCCCTGGCCAGTGCTGGCTTGCCCTAGGCTTGGGGAGAGCCCTGTATGTGCCCCCAAGGTACCAAGCAGCTCTTTCTGCTTGTGACCTCTATAGAACTGCTCTCACTACAGCCTCACAGAGACCTGTGAGGGTTAAACCATGAGCTAACTATGAGGGAGAATGCAAGAGGTGCATTACCAGGGCAGGGTCCATGGATGCCAAAGCAGACCTGAGGTGCCCCACGAGGCTGGGCTGCTCTCAGGAGGTGCCTGCCCATGCCCCAGCCCAGGTGCCGTGGGCCATTTCAGACCCATCTGTGCCTCGACACAGCTCAGCCAGCACTGAGGAGGAGAAAAGTCTCCCCATGGCCAGGGATGTTGCTCCTCCCTGTGTTTCATCCAGCGTCTGTTGAGCTGTCCCCAGATAAACCCTCCCTGCAACGCTTGGGAGGTCCTGCTCTGACAGCTGAACTCAAACACCAGCCCTGGAGATGGGCCCCAGGCAAGCACTGCCTTCAACACTCCCCGGCAGAGAGCATGGCCAGCAGTGTCCCTGTGCTTGTCCCAGGCAGTGGATTGTGAAAGCAAAGCAGCTCTTCTGACCCAGTAATTGCATCTGCTGAAAGGTGATGTAGATGTTTTCCCCTCATCATTTGCTTCTTCAGAATGAATTGCCTTGCTGAAGTAATTAACAAGTCAAATGGGACTTGTGTGGCCACTCAGGTTAGCAGGCAGTAAATAACTCTAGTGCTCACAGAGCTTTCCAAAGGGAATGATGGAGCAGTGCTTGCTGAGGACAAGGCTGAACACCAGCCCTGTTCCTGCAGTTGCTCTCTGCCAGCTGTGTGCTTTTGGGCATCTTTACCAAGGCTGTGCAGTGTGACCTGAGTGTGCCCAGTGTGACCTGAGTGTGCCCAGTGGCTCATGGAGAGGTCCCGGGGGAGCAGCCAGGGGAAGCAGTGTTCCCAAGGGCACCAGGCCTGCTCTTCTGCACAGTCTCCTTTTCCAACCACACTCTCCAGAGGCAGAAGAGAACTGTCCTCCCTGAGAAGACACTGGCTGGCAGTGCTGGGAGGCAGCACATCCCCGGCACAGTCACGCCTTGTCACAGCTCAGCTCCCTGGATCACCTGCCCAATGCCAGAACTCTCCCATCTCTTCCTCGTCCAGCCTCCCACCCTTGCCTGCACAGGGAGAGCATCGAGCACCTCTGGTAAAGGCCTGGGTTTATGGATGTTGCCAGAAGCAGCAGTTCAAACCCTCGGCCTCCGTCCATTTCCCTGCCCCATTTGCTCTCACCCCCTCTCATCACCCCACCAGCCAAAGGCAAACTTTTCCATGGAAAAGGATGCAACACATATCCAAAGGACATTCAGAGACAGAAGACACCCAAGTAACTCCACAGGCTACTGCCAAGCACGTGGGGACAAGCAGAAGGAGCACACCAGTGATAGCCCCAGCCATCTTGGACAAACTATTTCCAGCTTTTCGGGGCTCAGCGGGCGTGGAGGCAAATCCCAGCCACAACCTGAACACTGGGAGAAGGCACAAGAAAAAAGGAAAGAGCCACAGATCTGCAGAGCCTCGTGGCTGAGCCCACCCCTACTGCCACCTGTGCCAGGGCAGCACATGGACTGCTCCATGCCAAGGTGTGAACCCCTCATCTCCAGCCAAACGAGGCTCCTGTCCCTGTGTCACCCCTGCCAGGCAGCCCCTGGTGCCTCTGGGCAGAGGGACCATCACAAGACTCCTTTGTGCATCTTCATCCCTGCTCCCTGGAGGGACAGGGGGGAGAAGGGAGGCCTGGAGCCCGCCGTGGTCACAAGCCTGGCTGTGAACTCTCTGCTCTATTTCTGCTGTGGGCAGGGACTGGGGAGGCAGAGCCCCTGTGTTATTGTTACAGCTATTTTTAAATTCTCGCGTAAGAATCGGCGGCGTTGGTGGCCGTATACATAACTCAGGAGGAAGTTCAACTACATTCCTGGAGGGACAGAGCTGAGCAGAGCCAGAAAGTGAGGAAAACTGAATGCTGGATGGTGTAATTCCAGGACAAAGCCTTGCATTATTTTCTGTAGGCTTTGGCACCCAAGCCCACCTGGAGAAACGTGTTTGCAGAGCACCTGGAACCTCTCTGGCCTCTCTGAGCACACAATGACCAACTACTGATGCCTATACCCGTGCTCAGCACAGCTGTGGAAAAGCCTGTTTATCTTGTAAAACACTGGCTTGCACAGGAAAGCATCCAGAGGCGTCCATATTCTTGCAAAAAGCGCCGAGGGACAATAAATACAGAGAGATTCCTCACCTTTTAAGGACTTGAGCCTTTCTGCTGTTGGAACTGGAGGTGCCAAGTACCTCTTGCCAGCCAGCAGCACCCCTCACACAGAGGGAAGGGACACTGCAAGGGAAAGGGGCCTGCCTGGCCACATAGGAGCTGTTATCAGCGAAGACAGGCAGGAGCTTGCTGCTACCAGCAGGGTTTTCTGCTTGTGGGATGCCCCTGAGAGCATCCAAGGAGTCCCCACAGGGCCTTGCTCTCTCTGGAGCATCTTGAGAGCAGCCAGTCCTGCCCCTGGGACTCAGTGCCCCCAGGGTGGTTCAGCACCCCCTCCTGCAGGCTCTGCACCCTCCCTTGGCTCCTTCCCCTTTCCCAAAGCGAATGCCAGCTTGGGGCTGCCCTCACCACAAGTGGGGAAGAGGGCACTGGGGCACCCAGTGTTCCCAGAGCAGTGCTGTGGAGCCCTGCTGGAGCTGGGTGTGCCAGTGGGATGCCCAGCACCAGAGGGCACAGGGAAGGGACAAGTGCCAAGGGCTCCCACCCAGACCTGGAAACCTTGTTCAAGCACTGCCACAGCATGTCCTGGCTGCCACGGGCACGGGCATGCACCTGGATTTCTGCACAGACACAGCACAGCCTCCAGCTTCTCTGGCTGCCCATGGGCACCAACCCCAGACAGGATTTTTATCTCTTTGAGTCAAAACAGCCCTTGGCCTGGAAAGCTTTCTGCCCCTCCAGTACACAGCCCCACCCAGGTTTGGGGGGCAATGGGAAGGACCATTAGTGACCCACCATTAGTGACCCCACCTGATGCCAGGGTCCTCCACATTCTGCCTCAAGCCATCTCAAGGTCCCAAAATCTACACTCAGTGACAATCCAGCCTGCAGCCTGCTCTGTGCTTGCCTCCCCTGTGAAACCTCTTCACATTCCATTTTCTCCCAAGCTCCCTGCAGAGGAGCACCCCACAGCTGGGGGTTTCCTGTGTGGGACAGATTTCCTTCCTCACTGCACTGAACAACAGCACTTGTTAGCTCAGCTTTGCTGTTTGTGTCTCAAGGCAAAGATGAACCACCCCACATTATGGACCTGGAGCAGGTCCAACAAACGAAGGAGCAGTAAAACTTCCACACAAACCCCACAAACCCTCCTGCTCATCACCCAGGCACCATCACAGCCACTGCCCACAGGCACAGTTTTTATTGTGCCATTGTCCTTCACTCATTAGTCTGTGGAAGATTTTTTGCTGAATTTCCACCATTATGGAGTCCCACAGATGCTCCAACTCCATCCCCCAACCCAAACATCCTCTATGCTTCCAAAACAAACTAATTTGCTTTATCTGGGGGTTCAAGGCTTTCCTGCCCTTGCTTGAAATGGGCACTTGAAGTAGAGCAAGTTGCAATGGCTTGGGATGCTTATCCACATTTCGAGCTCCTAAACCCTTGCAGCATGTGGGAAGCATCTGCCACAGAGCACTCTCCCTGCATCTCCCAACCTCTTTGTGGAGGTGGGATTTATTTCTCCTCCATTTCTTCCAGCTCAGAGGAGTCTCTTGACAGATGGGAGGCTCAGACCTACATGGAGCACAGCCTTGCTCTGCTTTCCTGATGGAAATTGCCTGTCCATGGCACTGCCATCCCCAGGAGTGTGTGCCCCTCTGCCCCAGCCCGAGGCCCCTGGCAGGCTCCTCGCTCACAGAAGTGTGAGATTCTGTCAGATGAGCTGCTTTGCACAGATACTTAGAAACATGCAGATTTCTAAGTCCCTGTGAAATTGCTGTGCTGGCACAGGCAAGGCTGGATTCTTGTGGTGCAAAAGTGTCCCAGAGCTTGTTTGGGAAATTTATTGAAAGGTTTCACAAACCGGCAGCTTTGTGACTCCCAGGGACGCAGGGAGGTGCACAAGTGGATTTCTCCTTGTTTCATGTAATGTTGAGATGCCTCCCTTGGCTTCAGCTCCAGCCCTGTGCCCTGCCCTGCCTTGCAGTAGGAGCTGTGATGAGCTGGCCCTTGGCTGAACTCCTCCTGCTCAAATGAGAACAAACTCATGACTGTTTGTGTCTTCATTTGCTGGCCCCATGTTGCCTCCTTCATCTTGCGAGCTCTTGAGGAAAATGTGCCCATGCAGGGAGCCTTGCAGGAGCCCTGCTTGTCTTGCTCTTTAATCAGGCAACTTACACTACTTTCTGCAGCTCAAGAGAGCAAAAGATGGCAATAATATCTCTTACATTGCAGGCACTGTGTTAGCAAGGAGGAAAATGTTATTTATTTTTTCCCTGACAATACTTGTCCTACTTCTTTTTTTCCATAATGCATTAAGCATTAGGAGGCACAGCTCTGCACACAGTCCAGCTCTCAAGACTACCTGTTGAGGACATTGCTCAGCAATCCAGCAGTTGTATTTGTGGATGAAAGG